TTTTAATCTCCCGTTCCATTCCAACTGGCGCTGTCTTCTCGACCACAATCATTCCACCTCCTCTTATCAAAACAAACACCGATGTTGTTTTTTGATTAATAAAAAATATAGCTCGGACCGAATTCACCCTCTTCCAGGAGGCTCTCGCATCTTATCAGCTGTCGACATCGACATCAACATCAACAACATCCAAAAAATCCGACTCATCAATGTATACAACCCTCCCAGAAATTTCGAAGCCCTCCCTGAACTCGACTCTTGGTTAATCAACTTCAACGACCGGAAAATCCCATCATTCATCTTCATCGACTCAAATCTCCACAACAAGCTCTGGAACCCTTCCAACTATCCCCACTCTCACAATGAATCCAAATTCCTCATCAAAATCTGTGGTCGAAGCGGCTTCAAAATCATCTCCCAAAAAGGCATACCCACCTTTCTGACTAAAAGATCAAGCGCCACAACAATCGATTTGACTTGGGCTAATTTCATCTCCCAAAAGCTCATTCATTCCTGCTCAACTTCCTCCCTCAATCATGGATCAGATCACCAATCAATCCATCTCAAACTCAACTTTCAGTCCAACATCCAAATCAACGACCGCTTGACCTGCGATCTTGAAAAAATCGACTCTGAAAAATTCTGTTCCGATCTGTCAAAATGTCTTAAAAATATTTCCTCGCTTCCATTGAACAATCCCCATGATATTGACATCATGGTAGAAAAACTAACTATCTCTTTTCAAAACTCCATCGACTCCCAAAAAAGGCTGGTTAAAAATAATAATAAAAAAGTAAAACCTTGGTGGGATAATAAGATCCTCTCCCCCATTGCAGAAAAAAGAAACCGAGCTAGGAAATGGATGCTACTATCCAAATCTGTCAACTCCTGCGATTGCTTCAATCAATGGCAAGCGGTATTCAAAGAAAAGGTCTTTGAACTAAAAAGAAATCATTGGAGAAAGTTTCTTGCGGAATGCAATGACTTTCAACTTTTTAAAGCCTACAAATATACCAAACCGAACAGCAGCGGCAATGTTGCTCCTCTGATCAACAACCAAAATATCCTCACCTCCAACAAAGAGGAACAAGCCTCCCTTCTCTTCAAAGGAACTTCCGATGCACCCATCGACTGCTCCCTCTCCGACATCACACCATCTACCCTTTCCCCTCCGTTTCTATTCCCTCCTATCTCCAGCTTTGAAATCGACAAGATCATTTCCAATCTCCCTAAAAAGAAATCACACGGTCATGATGACATAGCTAACGAATTCATTATTTGGGGTAAGGAACCCTTGATTATTCCACTCATTAATCTTTTTTCATCGTGTCTAAAAATCGGTTATTTTCCTCTTTTTTGGCGTCATGCCACCACTGCTATTATCCGTAAAACTGACAAAGATTCATATTCTTTGCCGGGTTCTTACCGTCCCATTGCACTGTTATCGTGTTTAGGAAAAATTTTTGAAAGTATCCTGACCAAAAGAATCACCTTTTGGGCAGAAAACAATCACGTTCTTGCCGACGGCCATTTTGGCGGAAGAGCAGGCCGTAGCACCGATGATGCAAACTTGTTCCTCACCTCTTGGATTCGCCAAAAATGGCGTGAAAAGAAAATCGTATCCGCCCTCTTCCTTGATGTTAAATCAGCATTTCCGACTGTTATCAAAGAACGACTCCTCAACCATCTAAAAATCAAAAACGCTCCGCCTTACTTCCTATCCATTATTTCCAACTTTCTTTCCGACCGATCTACTTCCTTGAAAATGGAAGACTATCTGTCTTCATCATTCCCTTTGAAGTGCGGATTACCGCAAGGCTCTCCTTTATCCCCGATCTTATACATCATTTATAACTCATCCCTCCTAATCGACTGTCCACTGGATCTAAATCAAGATTCATTATCCTTGGGTTTCATCGACGATGTAACCCATCTTGTTGCTGAAAAGTACCTTGAGACTTCTATAAGGAAACTTGAGGAAGAAGGTCGTAGATCACTCTCCTGGGGTCGCAACCACAATGCTATTTTCAACAGGAAAAAAGCCAATTTCATGATCTTTACTCACAATCTCGTCAACGTCCGTCCCTTCAAATTCGGCGACATTTCTCTCCCTGCTTCCCATTCTGTAAAATATTTAGGAATCATCTTTGATTCAAAACTTCTGTTCACCGACCACATTAAAAAAGTCAAAAAATGTGGTGACCAGACAGCCTCTCAACTCATTCGCATCTCTCGTTGCTCCTTTGGAATTGGCTTCCACCAATCTAAGAACCTCATTATCAGCGTTCTTTGCTCTAGAGTCCTATACGGTAGTGCCATCTGGGCTACTGAGAGGAAAAATTCAACCATCGACAATCTGTTTAAAAAAATTGATAACCTGGCTAATCGCATCATCCTTGGAGTGTTTAAAACCACTCCTTGTGCTTTTCTCCAAAGAGACTCACCTCTAATTCCCTTCTTTGAAATCTTAAAAAGAAAAAATCATCTTTATCTTATAAAAAAAAGTACAGCTCCTCTTTCTCATCCAATCAAACGCCTGATCAACTCAGAAATTTCCGCCTCGCCCTCTACTCATCCCTCCCCAATTCACAATATCCTCGACAAACACCTCATCTCCGACTACAATCTCTCATCCATCGAAACCATCTATCCCCACATCATCGATCCCTGGGAAGATTTTTCGCTCCCAATCTCAAATCTAAAAACCAAAAAAGAAGAAATCAAGTCTAAAGTCCAACTTCAAATCAACAATCTAAAATCTAAATCCGAACATCTTATATTCACCGATGGCTCCAACATCCCCGAAATTGGTTCCGCTTCAGCTGCTCTATTGGACAACACCACTGAATTTTCCTGTCGAATCAGCGACTCGAAGAAATCATCCGCCTTCGAAGCGGAAGTGCAAGCCATCAGCATCGGCCTTGAAATCTTCATCAACAAATTCTTAAACTCCCCTTCCAACGTCTCCTCCAACATCGCTCCTATCAATATCTTCTGTGATAACCAAGCCACTCTATTCTCCATCGCCAATCCTCCCCTTCCTAAATCGTACCAATCTACTTTCTTGAACATTTTCAAAAAATTCAAAATTATTCTAAATTTATGCCACATCCCTATCGCCTTATTCTGGTGTCCTGCGCACGTCGGTATTCCAGAAAATGAAACGGTCGATAAACTCGCCAAAGCCGCCACTCTCTCTAGTCATCCACACCATCTTCAAAATCAAATACAATCGCTATCTAATACTCAACAACTTGCTCGTTCCTTCTTCAAATTTAACAAGTCAAAGAAATCTATTGTCAGAAATAAAATCCGCCTCTCCTTTCCTCCGTTAAAAATTTTTGAACAACTCGATCAACTTGAAAGAAGTGCCGGTTCCATTATCTATCAACTACGGTCGGGTCATTGTCCACTCAATAGCTATCTTTTCTTTATCAAAAAACTTGATTCTCCAAACTGCGATCTCTGCGACACTCCTGAAGACGTCAAACACTACATGATATATTGTCCTAAATTCAACTCACAAAGAAAGTTCTTCAGACAATCGCTTACATCACACAAAATCAAAATCAACGTCAATTGCATCAAGAGTCTCCTCGATTCACCAAAATGCTTCAAACTTCTCTCCAACTTTATCCTCAACACTCATAGGTTCAAAAATCTCAAACAATACCTCGAAAAAGAAGAATAAAAAAAAAAAAAAAAAAACTCACCTTTTCTTTTCCAATTATCATTTTCTTTGGTTAAAAGTCATCATTTTCTTTGGTCAAAAGTCATCACTTTCTTTGGTTAAAAGTCATCATTTTCTTTGGTTAAAAGTCATCACTTTCTTTGGTTAAAAGTCATCACTTTCTCTGATATACAGTTATCATTCTCTTAGGTTAAAAAAAAAAAAAAAAACGGAAGGGCTATTAGGCTGGATACAAGAGTTAGTCGAATGGGTTCGGCTTTTTCCCACTCAATCACCTAGGGCTTGTGGTTTGGGTCACCACAAGATACTCTGCCTAGTCACCAGAGTATGGAAAGTCGGATTCGTTCGGCCTTCCCTATTTTCAGACCCGATAATAAGAGTCGGATTTTCTCTTTCTCACTTTCTCTTCTCAATTTCTTTCGCTTTTCTCTCTTAAAATCATCATTTCGTCGGTCAAGATAACTCAGCATTCGATTTAGAAGAATAAAAAACTGTTATAATTACAAAATTATTAATAGTTTTCTCTTACACAAAGTTCAAAAACGTCATCGCATGTATTCTTATAAAATGTATTTCTCTTAGTGCGCAATGTGAAATCAATTAGCACTTAAAAAAAAAAAAAAAAAAAAAAAAAAAAGCCAACCCTGCCAGGCCCGTCAGCACGGTTGGCTTGACCTCCAAGTCAACCAGGGCGCTATTATCTGATGAATTGGTTTGTTGAGTTCAGCGGTTTGGACTTCATTCGCAGAACATATTACGCAGGGCAAGGAAGCGCAGGATGTGAGTAAATTTTTGAAGATCCATAGTATAGTCTTCTAGGGCGCAAGGACTTTGACGAGGATGCCATGACCCATTCTAGAGTCGGGGTCGATCAAGTTGATCAAGCCTGCAATCCAAGCTCCAACAACGGTATTGATCTCCGTTTTCTGGAACCGTCTGTAAGGTCCTCAGTGCTTCTCTACGTTTTGGGCTCATCTCCATTCCGTCTGCTGGGGCGACTAGGGAATAAAGACTCAAAGTAAAGCCTGAGAATAGGCCTCGTTTGTTTGTCAAGCACATACCCTACGACTAACGGCTGCATTATCAAAAGCTGTTTTCCAATATAGAACAGGGACACGTGAGACAAGAAGTGGTGTGTTTTTAATCAACAAAATTTTGGCGGAAAACATGTTCACAGTCTGAAGTGAAAGTTGATGGAGAAGTCCTGAGAACCACGTGACGTACCTTAGAAAATGTGCCCTGTTTGTTTGTTTTTTTCTGTTGTGGATGATCACAACTTGCCAAGGAATGAAATTGTAAGGACTCCGTCGAGTCCTTCACTGTCCGTCGGAAATGGCACTAGACAAGGGCTCAATAGCTCCTGAGAGAAGGATTCTAGTACCAAAGTGTGTTTTATTTCAGTTCTAGACGGGAGAGAGAGATCTCTCTGTTAGTATCTACAAGTGAAGAAAAGGAGGAAAGAAATGAGAAGAGAATGAAGGAGGATTGGGTACTTACCTAGACGGGAGAGAGAGATCTCTGCTGTCTAGGTAAAGGGGGAAAGTGAGACTAAATACAAGCCAGAACAAGCTTATGTAATCATGTGACATGTTTGTGTAAGCCTGTGAGGAGCAGGGCTTACAGTCTCCCCTCCTATAAGAGAAAATAAAGAGGGGGAAATTAAACAAAAGCAAGAACTGAGGAAAAAAAACTGGAAAGCAGGGGAAGTGTAGAAGAGTTCAGGGGTGGTGGCTGATACTGGAACAAAACTGAGAGGAGCTTGAGGAAAATAGAATTAATATAGAAAGGAAAGTATTTGGAAGGTGAGGAAGGTAGGAGGATATGTGTGGGGAACAGAGGGTGAAGGTATCAAACATAAAATAAGATCGGATTGTCGGGAGTTGAAGTTGGGTTGGCCTTTTTCTTTTTCTTTTTCTTCTTCTTCTTCTTTGTTTCAGTCTCATCCGCATTGGCCTGCTGGAGGTACTCTTGGATGTCATTGTAGTAATCTAGAGTGGATTGTGAATATTCTGGGGCTATTCGGGCTTCTATAGAATTGATGTCACCATTATCTAAAATTTCGATGCCTCCGACTGCAGCTACCTCAAGGTTTTCAGGGCAGCTTTGGGCAGTTGGGCAGATCAGGGATGAGCTACAATTAGGAGTGGATGATAAAGCGGATTTTGATTCAAAAGATTCAGGTGGAGCCAAGGGAGCAGTTGCAAGCTCTGGTGGTGTTACAATACTACTCAAGTTGTCATCAGGCATAGGATGTTGTTGATCAGGGATTATCGCTGAGGTCTTGAGATCATTGAACATTGGGGGTGGAGAAGGAGTAGTCGAGGGGGGATGATGGGGCCGAGTGAGAGGTTCTGTAGGTGGCTTTTCGTTGTTGTCGGTAGAGACAATAGGAGAGGTGGGTGTCGATCTGCAAAGCCTGGTTGTGACCGCGTCTGTAAACGGTTTGGTTTGATTAAGCTTTGCATTGGGTGACTCCGTGCGACCAGAGGACAGTGAACAATCTAGGAAGAGCGATTGGAGTGGCGCGTCTTTCAAGAGTATGGAAGGCGGCAGCGGTCTCGTTAACGGTCTTGCCGTGGCCTGATCGCAATTGATTTCGTCTGATACCGGTTGATCAGAGGACGGAAATGGTTTTGAGGTATGCAATTGGCGGGGTGTGGTGTTAGCTTTAGGATCTGCGTTTGGTCGCGAGGTTGTATTGGGCTGCGGTAGAGGCGATGAAGGTGGGACGATAGAGCTGCCCAGTTGTAAGTCAACCAACGAAGCGGCTGATCGCGAGGCAGCCTTGTGCTGCGGTAGAGGCGGTGGAGGGAGGACGGACGAACCGTCCGATTGGCTAGAGATCAGAGTCGGCGATGGCCGAGGTGACGGGGGTCGCGAGGCAGGGTTGGATGAAGGGAGGGGTAGATTGTGTGGATCGATATCGTTAGCGGCGCCGGCAGGTTGAGTAGTTTGATCAATAAGGGCCGCCTTCAGACAACGCTTCTCAGCATTTGCGGCCCAAAAGGCAGCGTTGATACCCGTTTGATTTCGCGAGGATCCCAACCATGTCTTTGACGGGTCCTTGGATGCAGATCGACAATGTTGGATCGGATGGATTCCTCCATGCTGATTTATCATTCGCCAGTCGTTTGATAGAGCTTTTGCTGCGGTTTTGGATAGAACTGGGACCAGGCCTTTATCTTTGAAGTAGCGAAAGGAACCGGTAGCGGGAACCAAGGAGACAAGGCCTCGATCCGCTGAGCTTTGGAATGAGCCATTCAGAGGAGCGGAGGGGCCACGAGGAGATTGATTGAGATTTGTTCTAGCTAACAGGAGGTGGACGACCTCCTCCAGGTATTGGATACGAGTCTCGTAGCCGTTCTCTGTCTGGTAAAAAGCTTTTTGCAAGCGTTGTTGATTCATCTTTCCTGGGGTTGAGGTTTTTGCGGAGAAGTGGAAGTAAAGGTTAGAGAAGTCGATTTGGGGGGTTGATAAATCAGATAAGAAAGTTGATGTTGGAGAAGAGATCTTGAAAGGTGGAAGGGCACGATAATGAATTAAAAAAATTCTGCCAATCTTGTTCTTGGAACTAGAAAAAAAAAGTGTAAGGACTCCGTCGAGTCCTTCACTGTCCGTCGGAAATGGCACTAGACAAGGGCTCAATAGCTCCTGAGGGAAGGATTCTAGTACCAAAGTGTGTTTTATTTCAGTTCTAGACGGGAGAGAGAGATCTCTCTGTTAGTATCTACAAGTGAAGAAAAGGAGGAAAGAAATGAGAAGAGAATGAAGGAGGATTGGGTACTTACCTAGACGGGAGAGAGAGATCTCTGCTGTCTAGGTAAAGGGGGAAAGTGAGACTAAATACAAGCCAGAACAAGCTTATGTAATCATGTGACATGTTTGTGTAAGCCTGTGAGGAGCAGGGCTTACAGAAATGCCAAAGGCCTACAACAACACATACCAGCAAGAAAAGGGAGATTTGAGCGAAATGCTCAGCGGAACTAGCGACAGACGGGCATGTACCTCTATCTTGGTTCTGCGATTTGGTGATGTCTGTGTTTGGTTTTCTTTCTTTCCTTTTCTACCCTTGATTTTTTCAATTTGAGAACCAACGATTAGATTCAGGAATGATACATGTTTATCACTCCAAAAGAACTGAAAATGAAGCCCATGTGAATTTCTGCGGAAACTGATTACTAAAACTAACAAGAGCTCAGGCTTGGTCAGATCGAAGAGAAGTAAAGGTCACAACAAAAGTTTTCAGAGAGGCAATGAGCCTACAAAATCATAGGGTGGCATAGAGTGGTGATTGGAGCAGGGTACAAAAGAGCTGGGTACAAATGTCTTATCGGGAGGTATTGATGGATCAAGTCAACTTAGCCTTCAGGAGTGTCCAAACAACATAGACGATCTAACTATCCGTCTTTTTCTTGTCGATGTCGAAGCAAGCTATTCCAGCTGACCGCCGAGAGGAAACTGGAAAATTTGGAGTTTTTCGAAAATATAGACGTTTGCAGCTTGGAGGAGGTGCTCTGGGCGCTGTCTGGTTTATCGATGAGCAAATCATAAACAATTTTAGTTTGTTTGTCATATTGCATCACGAGAGGGGGAGGGAAGCACTCACCGGTCCGCGTTGTGGCATTATCGAGAGGGTAGGAGTCGTCCATGGGGGAATACGGCATGTCATTTGATGAAGTGCCTTCTGAGACCACAGCCATTGGACATAATGCTTGATTTCAGATACAGAACTCTATGGTGTAGATAAAAGTTATATCTCACTGGTTTGATCACAATTCATGCCAACTAGTGCGTCTAGACCTGAAAAAGAGAACGAAGATAGACACTTCGCCCGACGCCGATGACTGGCTGGCATATTGGAGAAAGCAGCCTCATTCAACATGGGCATGCTCCGCGCCGATCTAAGTCTGGGGCCAATATCTTCCTTCGAAGCTGCATCCTCCTGGGGTTTGTCTGCCTCCTGGCGTGTATAATACTTCACTGGAACAAATAAAAAATCCCCATCAACGTTTTGTCGGCGGTGTGGTTTTGTCCGATCCGTCGAGTTAAAAACACTTACTTTCCTCGTAAGCAAACGCCTTGTCATTGATGCGAGGTTCAATGTACTTTTTAGCCCAAAGCTTCGTTCGTTGAACTCGTGACTTTCGCTGCAGGTTGGGGGACGAAGCGGTTGACCGGAAGAGAAGAGACTTGAGGGGCCGACGGCCTGAGGGACCGGAGGCTGATTGGAGTGCCTCACTACTTGTCATCTCCTTCATCAAGCGATGCTCATTACAGAGGGTAGCCACAAGCATTGAATCAAGATGTCTTTCCTGTAAGGGACTACTTTTAGCTGAAAGAAGAGGCTTGGTTGATGACCAGTGGTTAAGATGAAGATTAAATTAACATACACTGATCTTTGTTTCCGGATTTGTGAGTTCAGCCTGTCCGCTTGGCTGTCGTTTGGTATTGACGAAATCTAGGGGCTCATCAAGAAGATCATCCGGTTTACCGCAACAGTGAAAGCTCAAGTCGGAATCTTTCGATGAATTCTTCAAGCGGAAAAATTTCCTCGTGCGTTCCATAGTTCAAGTAATGGAGTAATCAAAATATCATGTCTGAAACGGATTCAGTTGATGCGTGGCAGAGCTGACAAGAGTCTTGTGTTCAGAGAAGACGGGAAAAAAAAAAGATTCTAGCATTATGTTTGGGTGCAGATGAGTTCAGCCAATGAGCCGTTAAGAAAGTCTCCTTGAGGGACCATGTCGAATGTTCGCCTAGCTTTCGCTATTGCCCCGGCAAAAATACTGCAAGAGAGAAATTCATTGGATTGTTACCGCTTCTTTTTGAAACGGCCGATGGTAAAAAAGGTTGGGTAGGGTTCAAACCCTATTTCAAACAGGGACAGGAAGAGATGCTGATATTAAGGTGTAAACATGTCACAACTCATTTCAGTAAGGAGTTGATCCTCCTTTCGACAAACAAACACCTCTCGGGCAACTGAGACGGAACAGATCAAGATGGGCAAGAATACCGGAAGTGGTGTGTCGACGATGAGCGTGAGTTCAGCTTCTCTGGGGAGAAGCGTGCCTCGACCCACTGGTAACCCCAATGACCTTGAATCTATGATCCTAAGGAAGGCGTGTTGTGTGTATGCGAAAGACGAGGTCACGAGGTCAGCGCGGATTATTTTTTCTTCAAGCTTTGCCTAAACTGTATGCGCGTCGAAGCTTAGTTATTGAGATTGATGATCGCTTTGGCGATTTCCGCCTCCTCTGATCTGGAGTTTCAAGTTGTTAATGAAGGAAAGACACTTGGTCGTGTATCTGTGGTTCCCAAACAATCTTTACCTGAAGTGAAGGCTCCTACGTATTGAGGTATGCTCGACCTCTCAAATGACAATCTGTTTATCAAGTAAAAGTTGGGGGAAAAGGAGAGTTGAAATCTTCGAATAAGTTCAGTATCAACAACAATGTTTCTTCGATTGACAAGCGGGTCGAAGCAATTGCCGCCTCGAGCCTGATCAATGGAACTCAAAGTATCAAAAACTAAATATTTATACATAAGGATACATTATCGCCTACCAAATACTAAGATCCGCTTCGAATTACTAGAACTTTTCCTTTTGCTGTTTCTTAGGAGCTTCCAGTGCACGAGTAGGGTGTATAATCCACAGCCATTACACTCCAGATACTTCATCACGTCAAAACCAAACTTGAGGGGGCCTCCATCCGGGATCGAGAGGTAAGAGGTGGATCTTTGGCCTATTGCACCTAATTGTTTTCTTCGTATTGCTTTAAAAGTCGCCGGTAAATAGGCGAAGTGGTGGGTGAAGTGAAAAGAAGTTTTCCCCAACTTAGGCAACAATCTGGATCGAAGATGCGAGAAAGAACTAACACTTCATACCCTCAGGAAACAACGTCAAAGATAAGTCAGTCTGGCTGAAAAGGGTATCCGGAAAAGTGCTATAGTTCTGAAAACAAAATGACAAGCATCCTAAGGTATTGTGCCAGTAGGAGAATGGAGTGCCTGAGCGAGAAGCCACTCTGGCTGGCGCGCCGCGAGCACCAAGAACAGTAAGCTTACGCTGTAGCACGAAAGGAACTTCATTACGATGGAAGCAGTGAAAGGATCTCTCCGTGAAGTTCTGGAGCCTGGAGCCGAGTGAAACATGACAGGTTCAACCTTCAAGCTTGAATAAACATGTCGACGGTTCCACTCACCGGTAATATTATTTCCAACTCTGTGAAATAGATCAAGCGTATACACGGGGGTTTTGCTACGACTATAACAGCTATAAGGCCGTTGAAATTTGCTTTGGGGTTGTGTTGAACTTGAAGCAACTGGGCCGACGACAGAAAGGGAGCGCTTAAGAGCGGGCAGAAACTAAGGAAGCACCGGAAAACTTGAAGACGTTCAGTAGTTGCCGAGACAAGTGTTGGACGAGAATTCATTGATGCTGGTTAGCTCAGTAGAGTGTTGTTGAGAATGGTACTTGCTAGCCGTGGCGCAGGCCGGCGCTAGAAGTAGCTAAAAGCTATTATAAGAGGATGAGATCGACGCAATGGCAAACTTCAGCCATTTTATGTAATTCAAGAAGAAAAACTTTACAAGCAATAATATATATTATGGAGTAGACATTCAGAATAAATGTTGCCCAGGGCAGAAAGTGATTTGATATTGGAAGACAGATTCTTGATTTGAGATACAACGATGACAACAGCAATGGCCAGAGACTCGACTTGAGATGAAGAATATGGGCAGAAAGAATTCAGAAGCAGTTTTTCTAAAGAAAGGGCTACAAGTTCCAGTATGACTACGACACAAGATATCAAATAACGAGAAGCACGATCTTTGGTTGAGAAATATCACTTAGCATTCAATGCGCCATCTGGTGGTGCCCATCGAGGTCGAACGGAAAACTCTGGCCTGGAATTGGTGTTGGTTGTGGTGAAGCTCGATTCACATATTTTTTTCTTTCAGTGGTTGTTGAGTCAACACGGTAGCCAACAAAAAGCAAGGCGGTCAGCGAGACCCATGATGAGTGTCAACTGTCACAGGTGCGTGACATGTCTTCTACAACGTAAATAATCTATATTTAGAAAAAAAAGCTTGACTTGTGGTTTTCTTGTTGCTCACAAGGGGATAACTGAGCCTGATGCATTTACATGACTTGCAAGAATGCACGAGATGATAAAGTGAGGTATCGGCCTGTGCCTTGATAGGCTTGGCCCCTTGGGTTGATGAAGCCCTATGCGTGAGCTATAAAGCCCCTCCGCAACATAGGGGCATCATAATTACTGTTTAAATGGGCCAAAATGAATTTCTCTGTGTTTCACTAGGAATCATTTTCCATTGTTGTTTTTCTTCTCCACACGTTCGAATATCATTCAGGATTGTAAGCACAAAAAAAATACAAATTTCTACAGCAGAAACTGCACAATCGCTCTGATAGTAGTAGAATCCTCAAGACTAGACCAGAGGTGGTACGTGGCTTGAATCGATGCGACCTGCACTGCAGCGACTACAAGAAAAACAAAAGGAAATCGTCTTCACACTTGAAGAATCTTGTTGCAAGGAATCATCAAGTTGATAAGTTCTTGTGTACTAGCATTTGAAAATTTCTAGTCTTCTTGTCCTTGGAATCTGTAAAAATCAATGGAGAAAATGAAAATATAAGAAATGGTGAGATTTGGACACTTGTCAGGTGCTAAGAACATTACAAAAGAAAGTCACGCGGGAGAATTGGGATATCATTGTGAGTCCAACTCTTACCATCATCGAAGAATATTGCACAGTTAGTCCCATCTTGGATCTTGCAAGGCAGCGGTCGTCCAGGTACTAGTATGTCTGGTTTTGGAGCTAATCCGATAAACCACAATCTGCATGAAAGGATTTAGCTGAATCAATATTGACGAAATGTAAGCTGTATCTATTCTGGGTACTGAAATGATTTATTATACCTTCCATCCGAGTCCCGACCGAGCTCCACTGGGCGCCAAGCTCGTGCATGAATTGCGTCTCCCTCTGTGGCACCTTCCCTTGAGGAAAACCTGACCCATTGGACCGCGTCGCGCTCGCCACACAAGATCTAAAGAACCGTTCAATAGTCATCGGATCTTCAATCGTTAACAAATTTATAATGAAAAAAATTGTGCGAAAATATAAGAGATACCTCAAAAGTATTAGGATCCTTGTATTCCTGATGACCTAAATCAATCACGTATCTTGCCAAGGTCTTCGTGCTTTTTACAAAATCCCATCCACCTGGACATTCTGATCTGGCGATCATATACGTGCGAGGAAGAAGGACAGAATCCTCAGAGAATATCATCTTATTCTCGCTGAAACAGATCGCGTCATGGGGGATGGGGCCTATTTGATTGACCGGCTTCCAGTAAACGCGTGGTTTTTGTTCTTCGATATGACTTCCGGGAAAAAAAAGGGCAAGAATCAATAAAACCGGCGAGTGTGAGTGTGACCCCTTCCCTATCCATGAATCAAAATTCTAACTCAGTTGATGGGATTAAACGCCTCTGGTTATTGTGAGCGTAGACATTCTGCCGCCATTCTTCAAGACTGAATTGATTAATCAAAGCATTTTTTTTTAGCTACAAAACCTGGAGAATTGATTTTTTTTTTAGTTTGCAAGAGTTTGGATCCCGAACTTACCTTGGATAGACCATGTTATGGGTGAAAGTCTAATCTGGAGCAGCTGGGGATGGATAAACAAACAAAGTGAAGGAACAAGGGATTGGGTTTTCGGGACATGGCGAGTCTAGGAAAAATGAGATCCACAAAGCCGACCAGGCCGGATTAGGAAATTCACAGCGGATACTAATCAAAGTAGAGAGCCCTCCTAAACGCCTGTAAAGATTTGCGAGACGACGATTCCGGAGCTTGGACCGGTACGGTCGGCCAGCTATCACGCCAGATTTACAAAAACGTGATGGGTCGGTCGGTCGGGTCTGGCGCGTCAAAGTTTGCAAGCTTGCCCCTGGAATTAGGGCAATTACTTTTAGCGCAACTAGCTTATCAATTCACACTAGACAAATAAGTATTGTTTTATTGATATGGTTGGTTCAAGAAGTAACGCGATTTATTTAAACAAAGAGCTAGCGTGGATGCACAAACATATTCCCCACCAAATAAAATTCAGATTTCGTACTATGTCGCCTCTCCTGCCCAGAGTGGTCTGCGTTTACGTGACTGCGGAATACATCAAGGGTGTTGAACAAAAGTTGTTTGTTCGGATTCCTTCCTGGGTGTAAATTTGCCAGGTGTTTTTTCCAGTGAAATGAGGTGTTATCCAGATGGCACTGCAATTCAGAACTGTCCATGAGCCTTTGAAAAGTATGGTTATGTATTTATTCAAAACTGTTGCTCCCCCTGGGCTTAATTTACTCATCAGGTTCCTTTTCTCTGGGTCTGACAGCTTTTCAGACCTTGAATGAGACAAAGCACAAAAGGAGAATTTTGAATACCCTGTGGGGGCAGGTAACTAACTGTGGAAATTAATTTTGGGGAAAAGAGCCATAAAGGCCATACAGCCATTGGATATCTTGAAGGGAATTGCTTCCAACCGCAATCTTTTCCTCCACGTATCCAAATATGAGGGACAGGATAATTAACCATCATCAAAAATGAGACAAGCCCGATTTTGCAAAGGTTGGAAACTTGAGCAAACAAACACATTCAATTTTGTTTACATATCAAATTGAGGATGAGGAAATATCCAGCAGTTTGATCATGATAAGAACTAGCATTTTTTTCACCATCTTTTTCTTTGCTTAAGCTCTACTGGCCATTCAAGCTAAACATGTGTCACCAGGATGTAAAGCCCCGTGTGGTTTTGTAAAGCTGTGTACAACATGCACAATTTGACTTGAGAGATAACCAACCAAAAAATGGCCTGGGTTGAGCAAGTGTCTTGGTGTGATATTATAAGGATGACCTGAAGTATCAGCCCCTCAATTGAAAATCTTCACTTGAATAATTCTCTGCAGCAATCCTGTCCATTATCATCTCAGGGTGAGCATGGTTAAATTAGATCTTTTGGTCTTGCCCGTTGTGAAGGTTATTGCATGCTTGTGATGGATCATCAGTCTATTTAAATGTCAGGGCTAAGATGTGATAAGAGCCATTGAAAAACACATCCTGAGTCGAAATCACCTAGTCAGAAAAGAAGTGTTTGGATGTTTTTGCTAAAAATGTCGTGAAACTGGAGCCTTTCAACTGTGACCTCTGACATTCGGTGATTTCATAACTATTTATGAAGCTGCGCTTTTCTGTGGTAAAAAGGGTAACGCGTCTACACAATAAAAACACATAGAAACGACAAGATGATGATTGACTGCAAGTGTACTTGTATAAATATGTATGTTTAACATGGCGAATGTTCCAGAGAGGTCACATGTTTTTGATTTACTAAAGTGTGTCGTCTTCCCGTAGCTTCAATGGCGGGAATTAGCGATACCTAATCTCTGCTTCTCGGCAATGAAGTCCCCAGGCCTGGAGAGGGGCGCGTTCTGGTTTGGACGATTGTTCCAACTTCTCTCGATCACTCCCATCAAAGCCAACGTTTTCTCCTCTTCCCAAAGTCCGCATACGAGTTGGATCCCAACAGGCAAGCCTTCACTCTCTTCGATTGTAGGCAAGAGCTTCGTCACTTGGGTCATCTCTACTTGTCTTCGCGAACCCCTCGTCATCGACTCGGTGGCACTCTGGAATTGATCCTTTTGGACGTTCACTCGAGTGATCGGCAGTTGGCCTACCGTCGAGTCTACTAAATTCCAAATTAGGGTGGACTCCGCTATGAAAGACTTGTTCCACTAGATGACCCAACAGGCAAAAACCAATCAGCCGTTATTAATGTCACCGAGCTAAAGGCGGATCCTTGCATAATCTTAAACCGGTCGCTACGAAAAGCATCAAGCTTACCGAAGATCCCATGGGGATAGCTGGAACCGCCTGCGTGGGGCAAATTAACCCGTCCAGTTCCAATTCTTCCCATAACTATGCAGAGACGAGTAGATCGAAGATAAAACCATTGAGTTGAATGTTAGATGTCCTGAAATTCTGGGACATAATGAGATTTATCTCACATAGCTTCTGACTTTGAGACAATATGCATCTCTCCTTACTCTCCACTGCTGGAGTTCTCCCGTGCTTTTGGCTCGACTCGCTTCGACCAACTTAGCCATCATTTCATTACGTACAAGATATTTCAGTGCTCGGGAGAGTGTCCATCGAAACCAATTCGGTAACTTGCACCCAATCGTTGTTAAAAACATAGACCAGTCTCTTGGAAAGAGGTAAGTTTCAGCACATTATACAAAGCTCTGACAATTAAGTGAGCCCACTAAACTCACATATGATCACTGCCCACATGAGAAAGCATTGTCTGGTATCCATCCGCACTAGAGAGTCCGACATAAATAACCAATCCTTCCAGGACTAGGATTTGATTTTGAATGTTAGATTCAAAGCAGACTTTTTCTGAAGTATTTCAAAGGTCTCTCATTTTTTTTTTTTTTTTTGGGGGGGGGGGGGCTTTTTTCTGGAGCTCAAATTTCACCCACTGTCTAGTCGAGTCACATCTATTTCCACGCAATCATATCCAGCCAACCTCAAGACTTCGACGGTTTCAAGGACGGCTCTCCGACAAGGACTACTTGTCTCGATCAAGTTATCTGCATCAACGATTTAAAAAATCAAAGCGATTTGAGGTGTCAGTTTGTAGAGCGTCTGGTTAGATTCTATTGGAAGGCGGAACAGACTGGAAGTGAAGAAGCCGAATTTCAACGAAGGCGGTGTATCTTCTGCAACCAAGGGAGCGAAGATCTCGTATCGGAATCGTCCAGTGGAATCAATCCAAATTTGCGAGACATCGTAGGATCTGGCTTATGAAGCATCACTTGACTCAGCAGAACGAGGTCTTCCCAGCATCGAGCCCTTGGAGAGAAACGGATGTTGTGACGTTAACATTGTGATCTTGTTCAGCTATATCAAATACAGTGCAAGGGAGCTCGAGGAATAGGGACATTAGACAAACATTGGTCCGATCACTCCCAAAATTTCTGTGTACCCATCATTGGCTCTTCTCGTCCCGTCTTGAACGATCCGCCCGCTACACTAGATGGCCGAAGCTCCGGATGGGAATGGAGCTTTTTGTTAGTCGTGGGCATGACATATAAACATCTGTGTCGCGAATTTCCTCATATGCTTACTCACCGGCTTTAAACTGTAGCATCCGCAGTAGTGAGCCGGAATTCGAAGACTTCCGCCTATATCGGAGCTGAGAGTGAGATGATGCATCAGTCATGCAAGTCAAAGAAGATGACTGTCACCATGAAATCGAGCTTACCCTATACCCAAACAGCTTCCATCACTTGCAAGTAAGGCAGCTTCACCACCCGAGCTACCACCGCATGTAAAACCACGCTTGTAAGGATTATGAGTGGGTCCGAATATCGGGTTAGAGCATTCAAATGAAAACAGTCTATATGGTTCTGCCTGTCAGTTCAAATTCAATGGTCTTGCACATTGGAAAATATGCCAAGGAACAAGGCAGAGATGCATACGACTGGGGGACATTTGTTTTTGTAAAAGGAATCGCGCCTTCCTCGATCAGTCGATCGACCACTGGGGCATTTTCTCCAGCAGGCTGATTTACAAATCTTTCAAGGGTGGCATAGTTAGCATTCCAGCAGTAAGAATGTGCCTTTTTTGATCTTCGCCGCGGATACGCACTTGGTAAACCCAATTGTTGAATCAAACCCTTCGACATTAATTTGATCCTTTAAGCTCACAGGTATGCCATGCAGCCTTCCTCTCAAGCGCCCGGTGGCTGCGAATTCTTTATCCAGTTGATCAGCCCTTTCAAGCGCTTCTTCGAACATGATTTCTGTCTTAATGATAAAAATCCAAACCAATTATCTTGGTCAGTTTTCTATCACAAGAAAAAAAAATCCAGGTGATGTATATCATTACAAAGAATGAAATGAGAACTAACGAGACAATTAGTCTCAACATGAGCATGGATGGCAGCCTTTATGAATGCCTTCAAGACGTTCTTGGCGTTCCAATTCAAGCGACGACTGCCGATCCGGGCGACGATCTCATGAGCTGGCGTGCTAAGGATGGTCAATTCGAATGCATTGAGGTTGTTGGAAAACTCGTTTGGGTCGTTGAGGATTCCGACGAGCCGATTGAGTCGCTCTCTCCGTTTCAAGATCGCCGCGTTGTCCCATAGTGATCGCGGGTCAAGTGAGACCGGGAAGAACTTGAGCAGATGGAGAAGCAGTGCTATCATGACTTGGCCGATTTCCTAGGAATCTTTCCTGGCGAACTGATCACCTCCATCAGCAAGTCAGGCCAATATGAATCAAAATTAGAAAAAGTAAAACTGACCGAGAAGCAAGCAAGTCTTGACCAAGCACTTTGTCGGTTGACTTCCTCCTTCAATCCGGCTGGCTTACCACTCCGATGGCGATCGAGAGGGAATGAGGTCATCGGGGACTGACCCGGGAGTTCCGATCAGATACCCGAACGCTCGACTTCGAACTTTGAAGTCTCCAGTGTCTTGTCTCAGGCAGTCCAGCTGTCCTCAGCACCTTCGAAATTATTTCTTGCTTCAATTTGATCACACCTCCTTCTGACATCTCAATCTCATTCATTAAAAGCAAGTCAGAACAGTATTTAGGAATTCACTATTTCTATCTTCTTTTATTCCAAAGTTGGTTTTGAAGTTTTTGTTGAAAGGGATCAAAGCTGATCAAAGAGATTGAAAAAGTACTTATGTATTTCAGACCTCAAAGTAATTAAGATGCACTTGATGCTTATTGGTGAATTGCTGTAAATTCTGCATCCCATGCAGACAATGATTTTGGTTCAAAGATTGTAAATTTTTGCAGGCAACCCTACCTTTTAAGGCTCTATGTAAACAGATCCTGCATGTCCACCAGATCTTGATGCATGTAATTTGTTCAAGATATTTCTCAATGATCAACCAAATGATTGACCTTTAGAAATTCCCCAAGATCACAGGATGTTCATGTATTTGTTTGTGAAATTGTGCATCAAAACAGGTTTCCTGTTTTTTGTTTTGTTTTGGAAATGGGTGTGCTTCACAATATTTGACAATTTGTAATTTCTTTTGGGTGTTTTGAGGATTCAAAAATTCTATTCTTACCCTTAGTATGATCATTGAATCAAACTGATTCCTCTTGAAGCCTCTGAGTGGGGCACTGGGGGAGCCTGACTGACTTGAGAATTTAACAAACTTTGAATTTGAACTTAACTTTTGACATTGTCAAGATCACCAGTGCTTTGAATATTACTGCTAGCCAATTATAAGGCTACCTGCATATACTTCAATCAAATTTGGTGGTGTTCAGGAAGTATAGGCGCTACGAACTTGACCAAATGATCAATGATCACCTTTGGATTAATTGGATTATAATTTTTGGATGAAGGGATACAGAAACATGGATGGATTATTAACTGAATCACTTGTGAATATCAGGACAGAAGGAAGAGTGATGCAGAAGCTAGGAAAACATATTTCTTAATTCAGACCTCTAGTCCACTCACAAATCTCTTAAGAAGTGCTTCCAAGGAAACTTCCCGTGGGCCCCGATCCCTGGGGATGACCAAAAGGATATTCAGAAGCAATGCAGCCACGAAAACCTTCAATCCGCAGGGAACAGAAATCTAGGGATATTCACGTTGGAGTCAAACTCGATGTTCCTGGCAAACTTATGGGAAGTGAGTTTACCCCAATCTCCCGCTTGCAACCTTGAACTGCTCAACCTTCATCAAGATTGGGCTACAATGTGACCAGTACTGGTACACAGAGCGACTACAACAGAATTAGATTAGGAGCCACCTTGATAGACCACAGTCCCCACTAACGATGGTCACGCGAGGCTGCTCGCGCGGTAGCCAGCCACGCGCCCACAAGCTGGAGGCCGGAGGTCGCGACGTGGGTTAGAACTTAGAACTTCAAGTGCAAGTTCTGAGATTTTAGATTGCACCGTAAATTGCATTAAAAAAACTGAGAGAATTCTGCGGTTGTCGAGTTACCACCTATTCAAATTAATTGTGAGACTGTGAGTATGTATAGCGGGCATGAGCTTCCCCGAATAAATGCAATCGATGCACAATGATGGTCGGGAACTTGCAATCTTGGTTGGAATTTCTTTGAAACATCGTTGGCGGGAAGTGGGTACCAAGGACACTAACGGCGAACTGGCTACACACACTCAGGAGCAACTTGCACCAGAGCAAACGGATTGTTCTACGCTCAATTCTCGAGTTCTTTGCCTTTCTTTCTACATGCTCAAACCCGCATTTGGTCAGTCTCTTGGAGTAATACATACGCGACTTTCAACGGGTGCCGATAGTAAGATCTTTCTCTCAATTGAAAGTATTTCAGAGCTTGCGTCGCTGTAAAGGGACTTTCTTAGATATACCCGATTCGTATCATCTGGCAAGCTAGAATAGAAGACCTGATAATTATTTTTTGATTGTTTGATTTCCAGCCTTACAACTGCTTGGGCATTTTGTCTAGAGTAGGATCTGCCGCGTCAATTATCTGGTTCTCCGATTGTCCGCTCTTGAGTCATTCAATGTCAACATCATGATTTTATCACTTCGAGAACTAATCAAGGGTTTCTTGGTATCAACTCCTTTACTTGTAAAACCAGGTTCCATCGGAAATCTGCTCAAACAGATCCTCGGGATTGCTTCAGAAACGCATCAGTTTTGGTGTACCTCACTTAATTTCACCCATAGAGCCTCTCGAGGGATTCAATCCTACTAGCACTTTGAAATGCCAGTATCGGCGGCTCGACAGCTTGTGGAGCTCATTTACCAAGCTGTGAATGACATTGAAGCGGACGTTGAAAGCCGATTGCCCGGCGGGAAACTCGCTGAACTCAATTCACCAATAGTCGCCCCAGAAGACGGACTGGAGATGAGCCCAAAACGTAGAGAAGCACTGAGGACCTTACAGGCGGCCACTCATCAATTGATCTCGACCCTGATGCCATCAGGCTTATACGTGCTCAACAGCTACGCGTCAGTGTTCCAGAAAACGGCGATCGATACCGTCGTCGGAGCTCGAATCGCAGACTTGATCCACTCGATCGACCCCGACTCTAGAATGGGTGGCGTTCACGTCGAAGTACTCGCCCAGAAGGCGACTATGGACCCTCAAAAGTTGACTCACATCCTACGCTTCCTCGCTCTGCGTAATATCTTTTGCGAATTAAGTCCAAATCGTTGGACTAATAATCGGCATTCATTCCCACTACGAACCGATTCATCTAATAGTATCTTGAATGCTCTCGGACATATGAGAGAGGAAACTTCTTTACCCGCCTTGGTTGAACTTCCTAAACTCCTATTGGATAAGCAAGTTGATGGTGCTTTTAGTAAGGATCCTCATCAAAGTGCCTTCCAAAAATATTATGATCCTGGCTGCAGTCTTTTCGAATTCTTGGCGAAATCTGAGGGTGGTTATCGATCAGAAAGGTTTGGAAAAGCAATGGTGAGTGGTTTTGATTGATCTTCCGAGATGTTATACCCTTAGAAGAAAGCTAATCATATGAGAGCGCTTGTTACGATTTTTCTGATGCTTAACCTGTCTTCCCTGGGGGCTGGAGCTTGCAGTTAGAAATGGCCCAAGCCAATGGCTCTGGGATGTCAGTTTATAAGGCGTTTGATTGGAAGAAGCTCGGTCCCAGAGGTACCTTGATTGATGTCGGTGGTGGGGTTGGTGCGGCTGCGTATACTCTTGCTACTTACCTTCCCGGATGGAAAGTAGTAGTACAGGACCGGCCAGAGGTAATCAAAGATGGCAAAAAAGTAAGCAAAATTTTTGCTGGCTCGCTCCAGTTTTTTTCAGTTTAATTTAATAATTTCACACTGGACGTAGTAGCTAACACTTAACTGGATGCGGAACTTGGTTTAGAACCACCAAAGAAAATCCTCGACAGCGAACCTGGAATTTGAGGAAGTCGACTTTTTTGAGGAACAACCGAGGCATCGCTCTGGGCGAGCAGATGCTTACTTCCTCCGACACGTTTTACACGATTGGCCGTGAGTTAAAGTTGATGGAGTTTGTTCTTGGATATGTTTTCGAAGAGCAAGATCTAACTGGACATTTTTGTAATCCACTTGTTTGGGATCAACCTGATCATGGCCATCGATCTTCCAGCTTCAAATCTTGCGTGGAGATCCTGACCCACTTGCGAATAGCTTCCAAGCCGACCACGTGTTTATTGATCTGTGAGACTGCACTCAACCCACCACTTCTGGATCCCGACTCACCAATCCTATCCAATGGAGGGATGGCTTCAGTATCAACCTACACACGCAATCTTGCCATGATGACTCTACTCAATGCAGAGGAGCGTAGTCAAGAAGAGTTTCTAGAAATCCTCAACCAGAGTGGTTGGAAGTTGCAGTCAATTACTCCCTTAGCTACCCTTGCGGATTACTTCATAATCGAAGGTGTTCCTGACCCCGCTTGGAATCAGGAAGCTCAAACACCCTAATATTTCATAGAAATTTTGACGCCTTACTAGCCATCCGTTTTCTTTGCACTCAGGCTTTCTGGGGAGCTGTACAAACAAGAGATTTCCTGATGTTTTGTTCTATTTCAGATTGCTTTACCAGTAATTAAAGTTTGAACACTGTGAAATTTCCTGAAATTCTCTCAGTATCACAAACCCCTGTGGGATCTTTGATGTTATCTGAGTCTTGCCCACTGGAATCCTGTGTGTTGGGAAGGGACAGACTTCTTTCTTCAGTGAAGCTTGTGATGATGCCATTGCCCGGACCAAGGAAAGCCTTTCCAGATGTTATCAACCAAAATGTATGAATGTATGATGGCACTTTCACTTTGGCACACAATGCAACATGATATTTTGATGTTTCAAATTAGAGGATGATGCTGGAGTACTTAAACAATTTTCTAGTGGCTGTCTGGAGTTGGTGCTGAGTCACCCAAAATTAAAAATGTAGAATTTGTAAGCTTTGGCTGTGATTTCAAAGAGGGGAGAGAGAGAATGAGACAAAAGAAAACTGCATGATGAATGGAAAATCCCCCACCGGTACAAGTCATGCAACATTCCTGATCATCCTAATTATCAGGAACCAGGAAAGCCCCTATAGAAAACAGTAACCAAAATGTATGAATTTTTGGTCAAAAACCAAAAAAGGTACTCACTCCAAATGTATGAATTGCTGTTTTTGCCCAGAAAGGTACTCACCTCAATTGTATGGATTTTTCCCCAAAGAAGGGGAGGTTATAGTAACCAAAGATGTGTGAGAGTCACAAATTTTTTGGCCACAATGCTTCCCAAGGCCCCCTTCAAGCCAGTTTTTTATCACTCTTTGGCCTCAAAAGGGATGCAAAACTATGTAAATTCCAATCAACTTGGAGTGTTTATTCAATACTCCAAGTCAGTTTTTTTATCACTATTTGGCCTCAAAAGGGCTGCAAAACCATGTGAATTCCAAAAAAAATCTGATTTTTCAGAGAAAATATCTGGACACCCACCAAATCCAGGGTCAGTTTTTGCCATCTGCCCCTGCACACATCATAAAATGATTGATTGATCTGCTCCTCTTGCTGTTCATCTAGCCCAGATTTGAGATAAACAAAAAATGGTATGTGGTAGTTAATGATGACTTCTGAGATTGTGAACCTGCAGGTTATTTATAATGTAATACATGCATATGATGATAATGAGAAAAAAATAGGAAATACAAGAAAAAATATGCATAAATGAAGGTTGGTTATGATCATTTTCTTCCCACAGTAAATGATGAAGAGAAGACAAAGTCTTTGCGACTTCTTTAACCCTATAAAGCCCCATCTTTCCTATATACTTACCACCACCATCATTGTATCCCAAACAAAACAAAACAAGATTCAATAATGGACTGGCTTCCCTCTTAAGATAGTATGTTTATATAATGAAACAAGGATTTCAGAACCAGTAGCATTAGCAGGGGGTAATACCTCAGAGCCACCAACTAGAACCTTACAACAGAGTTGATTGATGACATATTCTCTTGATCATCCTGGACACAACTGCCTGTTGACTAGTACTCATACATAACAGATGTTGGTGTGGTTGGTTGAGGTGGATGAGGTTTGTGAGACAGATGGACTCGGTCATGTTGTGCTAGAATTATTACCACTTGGCCTAGCTTGTGCGCCATATAAGCAGCCTCCACATTCACATCAATAAAAATAATCAAGTTAGTCTAGGGCATAAGCTTGTTTATATGGATTTTTTTTTTCAATTGTATTGGTGTACTTACTGAAGTTGATCCCAACTTGCATGACGGGGGTTGATAAGTGCACGTCAACCCTCATGGCGCACGCCAATCTGCACGCCAAGCGTAGATTGGCGTGCGCCCCTGCACGCCAATCTGCTGCAGGGTAGATTGGCCTGCAGTTGGCGTGCAGGCCTGCACGCCAAACTGGGTCCTAAACCCCTATGTATATGGGTTTAGGACCGGGGCCATCCCATAGTCCCCAGGCCTGGGTCCTAGGGGATAGCCCAGAGTCTAATTTTTCGTTTTTTTTTCCAACAAAAAAAAAAAAAATAACACCTGCTGGTCGGGAGGAACCCCTCCCGGCCAGACCCTGTGTACACCAGCTCGTCGGAAGGGATTCCTTCCGGCGAGCTGGTTTAA